TGCGGTGATTTCATGTGTTTGAAAACTTGCGTTAGTTGGAGAGCTTAACCTATTGCGTACTGCAGTGTTTTGCGTTGGTTGGCGCATGTGCCCAGCGTTTTCTTCAGAATCGACGCACCGACGTGACTCGCGGCGTACAGCACACAGCCGCACATAGCGGTTTTTAGAAGGAATCGCAAAATATATGCTGTTCGAACTTTATTCGATCCCTAGCGTGATTCTTGAGCAAAACGCGGGACGCGGATACGAAGGGGTGTGCTGCACCATGTGCAGCACGCGGTACGCAAAGGGTTAACTTTCCAATTCAATTTGACCTCAGTGTTTTAAAAGAATTACATTACCTATAATACCTAACTGTCGCCTAAACTTACACCCCGAAAACACGCCGGGCGAGTTTTCGCGAGACATTTGTCAAGTCTCTGGATATTTGTTAACTATATGGCTTGTGAATCAAGCAATCCGTCGCGGAACCCACACAATCGACTCTCGTTTCATTTTGGTGCTACTTATGAATTGCTGTTGGAAGAAATGATGTCAAGGGTGTCCTCACCCATGAAAGATCCGAAATTAAGGAAAGAGGTGACAGTATACGTTGTTTGAAAGATAAGCGTCGTTTATAGGCTTTTCCACCGAGTAGAAACCTCCTCTAAATCACCGGCACTTGACAACATGAAGAAGTAGGGAGAAGCAAGATCTGCATTCTTACTGCTTCCTCCTCAAAGATTATCATGATACGGCAACCTCGAAGGAAATGATGTGGGTTTGATATCAGCGTAGTATAGTTGGTTTAATGTAGTCCTAGGTCACCACCGAAAGACGAAAGGCAGGAGCACACCGCTTCGCCTCACAAGACATTGTAGCACTGCACTGCACTGTCGTCCCGTTGATCATCCAAATCCTCGAGCGGGCGCCAGTAACGTCTCCATTCGTCCCTGTCACGAGCCAAAGTGGTCCAGTGAACCGTTCTCGCTTCAGGGACACGAGGTTCAACATTCCTTTCGTTCAGAGCTTTCGTGAAGAAGTCTGACCATCTCGTCGGCGGCCTTCCTGGTGTTCGTTTGATGTCCCGAGGGATCCAGTCAGTAACCGCCCTGGTCCAACGGCCATCACTATATCGCATAACGTGTCCGGCCCACCTGATCTTCGATTTCTTGGCGTGATCAACGGCATCCCTGATCTTCGTTCGGTGACGGAGCTCGGAACTCCGGATTCCCTTCTGCACTTGCGTGTATAGGGAAATTCCGAGCATCGTCCTTTCCAAAGCGCGTTGAATAACGCTGACAGCATGCTCATCCTGCTTTCGTAGAGTCCAGGTCTCCGAGGCGTACGTCAAAGCAGGAAGGACAGCAGTGTCGAAAAGGTGAGCGCGGAGCCGGATGTTCTTTGACATTGTATAAGACAAGACATTGTATAAGATAAAATTGGCTTTCAAATACACTGCCGTCATGAATGAATGTTCATTACTTGGCAGTTGCTACCCGGTGTCGGACGCTCCACTTCCCTTTTCAACCTAAAAACCATGCGAGGCTTTTGGAAACGGCATCAAGGAGGAGAAGGACTTCGAGAAAAAAAGTGTCATATCGCTTCGACCGCATTTAAGTGAAGTTATACCATTAGATCAGAGTGAAAAATGCACGGTATTCCCATTCAAAGTGAGTATGGTTGTAACTGATATTCTGCCTTTTAGTTTCTTTTTACTGATGTGCCTTTTCCTGTGACGCAGTCTTGGTTTTAAACATCACACCTTTTCAATCAAACGTTTTATAGTTGCATACTCTTACTGGATGGCTTATTAGTCAAAGGCAGTGTTCGCGATAATTTAATGGGCGGGTATGTCAATGACGTGTGTGCCTCTCATTCGATTTCACGTCAGACAGTCTGGCGTGACATCGAATGAGAGGCGGACACGTCACTGACATACCCGCCCATTGAATTATCGCGAACTCTGCCTTTAATGTAATGTAACCGAAATCATTTTATTGTGGGCTCTCTACACAGTGAACCGTTAAGGAACCGTTTTAGGTTACAGGCTATATGACATCTCGGAAGGAGGAGGCACAAAAGTTCACGAGAAGAGTTTTGCTTGAGGTCTTATCTTTTCAAAATTTTCCTCCCAAGATGTCATATAACCACTTCAAACAACGTATTTTGTCACCTTTTCCTTTACATTCGGATTTTTCATGTGTGCGGACACTCTTACCACAACTTCTTTGAATAGCAACTCAAACGAAGCGTCAAGGTGAAGCTGCAGTAAAGGCATGATGGCGTGGGTCCCGCAACGAACTAGATTCAAACAGTGGGTTCAGGGTGTAGGTTTAGGCGACAGTGATTTCCTATAGCCCTGATATCTACCTTATCTATATTTACCTATATTACCTGTATTTGCAAGCACATATTTGTACCTTTCACCTATTAAATTATTTGTCGTCCTTGGTTGGAAATTACTGGCGCTGTTTTGCTCTGTAGCCTTGAAACTAGCGCCAAAGCCGTAAATTAGGGTTAGAGTAGAGGAAAAATGCGGTGCGTGTCTGATTCTCGTCAAACTGTATATCTGGCTTCACTTCTTATCCTTCAAAGCAATACGATAATTTGATAATCGGGAAGGCGGAGGGACACGCATAACAGTGCAAACACATCGAGGAGTTAAAGGCACGATTCACGATAAAAAGTTACTGAGTTCTTCCTTTAGGAATACTCAGCGCCCCCTCCCCCGCATGGGTGGTAGAAGGGACCCTCTCGCTCCCACAATCTCGGCGCTCAGGGCATAGTGGAAGCCCCGCTACTGCCGTAGTTCGCTTTCCCGCCCCTCGATCGGTGTCACGTTAGACGAGTGTCGAGACAATACAGATTGCTATTATTCGTTCTAGGACCCACGCACAGCAGCTAATCGCCGAGTGATGAGGCGATGTTTTTCTCCCATTCTTTTTTCCCCTGTTTTTCTTTTTGCTGCCGCGATCCCTTTTTTAATTTCCTACTCCTAGAGGCTGAGAAAGGTGAGCTACTTCTGCTGTTACTAGTTTTTTTGTTTATTTATGCTTATAAGTGAATGAATTTTTGCTTACCATTGTCTGTTATTCGCACCAGGACCCACACGCGCGCAGTGAAATACACTATTGAGCTCGTCCGGACACCCCACTGTTCTTCATTTTTCTGGTTTCATTCCCGTCCAGTCCCCTTTTTAACGGTTTTTCGAAGCCTTTTTTCACTTTGGAAACACCGATGCACGCAGTTTCTTCACCTCAGTCGCACTAGTTTCGATCTTGTCTTCCATTTATCATCATAATCCGGACTACCCAAAATTATCGTGAACTGTGCCTTTAAGGTGGATGGAACATTCGTGTGTTCGGGGATGCGCACCACAGATTGCGTGGCGAAGCTCGTGACAATTTAAAGAACTTTAGCGCCTATCATTGGAGCTCAAACATGATGTAGAGCAGATTAGTAAGACCAGCTGACCAAAATAACCTACTCCAAGTTTGTTCCCCAATGATAGGTGCCAAAGTCGTCAAAAGCGCCACGAACCTCGCCACGCTATTTTCCGAGCGCATCCCGGGCGCACGGATATACCCATACCCGGGAATAAACCCAGCACTAAGGACCTGCAACCTTTAAACTGAACCTTAGGAGGGAATGAGCACCGGGGTAGGCGAGACATCTCACCCACCCCGCTGCTCCGACCCTCCTAAGGCTTATTTGAAAACTACACCACCCGAGCTAAAACCGCACGACAGCGCACGTTGAACGGTGTTTATACACGTTATACTAACGCCCCCCCCCCATATCATTTCCACTTAAGTGCGTGAGTTTAGGGCAGAGGAATGTTGTGCCTTCGTCTCTTGCATAGCCATGGAGCAAATTTATAATAGCATGTACGCTATGCCCTGTAATACTTTGTGTGTTATAGTATATATTGGGATTAAATATGTTATTAAGCCTGGAATAGTGTTTGTACTTTCCATCAAGATGTGGTAATTATGGGGAGTTGAGGGAAGCCAGCATGAGGAAGCAAAAGAAATTGACTTTAACACTGACTGGCCTCAAAATGCTTTTTTCTTCCTTCCTTCTTTCCTATTTCAGAATACAACAAATTTCTGAATCATGGCAGCGATATTTGTTCAGCTTAAACTTTCAGATCGATTAACCATCCATTTGCATACCCTCATTTTGTGGGCACGCAGTTGGGAAATGATAAAAATGAAGAATGGAAGAAGAAAACCCTGAAATAAGAAATGAAGAGGCACCACTGTCGAAACAAGTTGTGACAAGATCACGGGAAGCGAAACTATTCACATAAAATCATGCTTACGCTAATCCCCTCAATCAGTCTTCGAATTTGAATGAAAATAAGCGTAAGTTGCGGTACTTCTTAGAAAAACGTGATTGTAGAATTGCCACAGATGTGTAAATAAGTAGCACCGGAATAAACAAGAGTACCTCGTTATAGTGAGAATAGTTGAAAACACCTCTTCGCGAAAGAAGGCCGAAATCACTATCGAGTTGTCACTCTTCTCTCTGTAAAAAAAGAATAAGTAATACAAAGTAGATCCTTCTCTGTGTTATTCAGTGTCCCCCACCGTACCCTCTGGAAACAGCAGCGAAAACTCAGTAGGGGCGCTCGGCTCTAACAGAAACCCGGAGACAAGCACAGCAGTTGAAGACTGGATTAAACGGGAGTGTTAGACGAGGGCAGAAAAATAAGCGCAGTCGCCATTATTGAAGGGAGTGAGTGTAAGCAGTCCGTCGGCCGTTGGAATTACGACTGCTAGCTCGCGTCGGGACTCACCGCTCGGTTACTGAGTGCCCATTCAAAATTTTCGTTTTTTATCGCAAATAGAGGAAGGTCCGACTCCTATCCATTAAAATAGAGGATACAAGAGTTGAACAGAAAAAACAAGAAAAAGAGCGTAAACAATCATAAAATAAATTGAGAAAAACACCCCTGCTCACTACTACATGCTAGAATTGAGCAAAAAGTCGGTAGAAGATTAATAAAGAACTAATCACCTTTTCCGGGCAGAAATCGTTGCCAAGAGTTTTGCAGCCTGCTCATAGATATTACCTTCCGCTGTGCACAAGTAACGAGTCACCGTGTCAACAATTCGTACAAGTTGATTTTCTATCGGCTGAGAAAGCATGCAACTACACACCTCAATCAACCATCCAAAAATATTCCTTGCAGCTAGCAAGTTCGCCTCATCTGAAAATAATATATTCAGCGAAATAGAGTTGCTAAAGAGCACAGATTCAGGGGGGGGGGGGGGGAATCTGGTGACTACGCGCAAAAGTTCCACTACAAAAGCAATTTTCTTGATTGCGAGGTGAGCGATAATTGCATATTTTGCATCTCAGTTGTGCTCGACTTAGTACTTGCACACCCAAGGCATGCATAGAAGGATAGTAGTCACTCAGAGAGTTCGGCTGGCACAATAGGCGTGACGGAACCGGGCACGAAAGTCACGGTCATTTTAAGAATTGGGGCTAACAGCAGACCATTTCTTCAATTATCCCATGCTAGCGGGTCAGAAACTTTGTTTGCAATGCTGAGAGAACGGGAAGACTTCGATGTAATTCATTAGCCCAGAACAGATAGATCACACATCGGTCATGGGTTGACCATCGCCTCACTGCGGCTAACGTAGCCGCTGAGTGGCAATGGCACCATTGCTAGTCGGCAGCAGACTTGAGGGCACCCGAATGATTCTGTTTATGGTAGGCGTCAGAACAAAAAGCGGTTCATCAAATTTCAAATTTCAAATTTATTACACGCTAACACACATGTAATAGAGCGAACAACAGAGAAAATAAATAAATCTCAAGGAAGCAAAAGAAGAGGAACAGCTAAAGGCACGCGAAAAATACAGCGTGAATATCAACTTACTAGTAACGAGGAAGTAATTAAAGTTAAGAGTTAACGATCTAACAGCTTTTTGAAGCCAGTATGAGAATCTAGCACAGTAATCTTTTTGCTAATTTTGGAAATCAGACTCAGCCCAAAAGATGAAGAAGTTGCTACTGGAACTGAAAGAATTGTGAAAGGTGGAAGAACATGGTCGACGAAGAAAAATTTTAAGTGATTGACCCCTTTTTGAGGACGGATATAATTTAAAGAAATCTTCAGATTTAAGATCAACAAAGCCATGGAGAATCTTGAAAACTATTAAAAGATCATTCTCTCTTCGTCTGAGCTAAATGGAGCTTAAATTAGGAAAATTTTCCTCATGATACTACGTGGAATGCTGCGCTAAGTGAAACCCAACGAACGGAGGGACACCGTCCATATGAAGCTATTTTGAACTTTTGCGATCCGGTCCGTCAAGGCCTTCTTACTAGAAGAGAAAACGCATGTACCATATTCAAGCATGGGTCTAACACAAGTTTTACATGCCTAAATGAGAAGCTGTAAATCCATAGAGCACAGAGATTTCAACAAAAGAAAAAGGCGGCTTTTCGCCTCATTGACAATATTCCTACAATGCCCATCAGTCCAAAAAGTAGGAGAGCTACAGTGGAGTTCGCGCACTGTCACTTCAACTGAACGTCGACTGACTGCAGAAGAGTTACTCCTACAGACCGGAGCAAGATAAATTAGTTTGGAAGCGATGTCTGTGGTGGACGACGTCCACCTGAGGAAATGTTCAATGAAAATACACCCCATCTACAACCAAGCATATTGGAGGAAGTGTGATGATATACGGTGCCTTCTCCTCGAACGAAATGGGCCCTATTTTGAAAATTGACGGCATGGTGACAGGTGAGTAGCACAAAACATGACGGTCGACATCGTCTCGCCGTGGGCACAGCATCACGTGCCAGTAGGATAGATCCTGCAGCGTGATCCGAAACACTTCTAACAGTTGTGAAGGCGGCCCTCATCAAACAGCGAACCATACTTCTGGAGAGGTCAAGTCAGTCATCGGATCTGAATTCTATAGAGCACATGTGGGGTTTCGAGCAAACGTTGTAAAAACAGTGAAGAAAATTTTGCTTAATAGGCGAAGGAGGGAACGTCACCAGTGTCTACCATTCAAAAACTAATCGACTGGATGCCTTCCCATTGCGATGCTGTCATCATCAGAAGTCAAGGCTTTATAGCCGAACACCGATGTTTTTGATGTTTTACATGTTGCTCTTCCGAAATAAAGCGGTTTTTATTAGGTCAATGCTATCTGTATTCCCACTGAAGTTGAGTTAAACCTCACTAACGCACCGTGAACAATAGCAAATTGGAGTTCAGTAACGGTAAGTATTCATGATATGCCTTTGATTACCATACTAAAATTTCATATGATTTTAAGAAGTAGGAAAAAAGTTATAATTGGAAAAGCGTTTCACCGAAGACTTTTGGCCGCTAACTATATTATATACTATGTAAACTACATTATATGTATACTATATATATGGGGTAACGGAACTTCTCCCCTATCGCGGCATTCTCCCTTGCGGCATGCGGCAAATGTCACTGCAATTACCGTACTCGCCCCGCCTCCCGCCAATCGATAGGACGCGATATTTTTCGTTGACTGGCTTGCTTTTCCATTGGACTTGATCGTTTTTTCTTCTGTTTCTTTTTAGTTTTCATGTTTATTAGACTTGATTAATTAAAATGACTCCTAAATAAACGACGATGAAGACCGCATTGGAATTGAAAAGAGCGGCCAGCCAATTCAAACAATTAAAGGTCTCCCTAAATCACAAATTGCGCGCTCCAATCTTCCATCGCAACCCTGCGACAGGCGGCGGGTGCGGCGGACGCCGTGTTAGGGGAAAAGTTCCCGGAGCCATATATATGTATATATAACGTTTATATAGGATGTGAATCCAGTTGGGCTACGCACGCCAATGCGTGCACCACATGCCTACTACCGCTTACCTACGACTTGTTAGAGGACCTATATGAACAGTATCGGTTGACTTCCCATTTCATAACGGTTTCCTCACCACCTCATGTGACTTCACACTCTTCGTCGTGCCTAGGCAACTTTCGGAAGGACGCACAAACGGGCTTACAAACAGACACACAAAATTACCGCTTTGTACATAGAGACAGTCGGACCGTACGGCTAACGCCGAGCTTCCCTCATTCTTATAATAGTTGTGATGAACGGCAAACAGCACACTCCTTCTTTGGAACGAATGATACTTTTCGGAACACGAAGTTCGACAGAGGAACAATAAGGCATGCAAACGACATTCAAAATGTGCCGATGCCTATGCCTTTGATTAAACCTGCCTGTCTCGATCTGTTGCTGTTGAGGTTAAAAATAATGACCCATTGAAGACTTGACCGTTAGGCAAATGTTGCCGAGTCATAATAATACCGTTATCAGATGTCGTTATGAATGTAGCTCCTTTTCTCTACATATAGATTATTAAATGAGAATCCAGGATTGTTAGTGATCGGATAAGCTTTGCCATGAATGATATCAGAGCAGAGAGGAATCGTGATCCTCCATTGGATCGCAAACTTCGTTGGGTAGCGGTCGTAAGCAAGAAGTGAACCAAATTTCATATCTTCATCCCTATCAGTGCAGTTACCCTTCTTGTCGAATGAAACATATCAAAGAATCAAAGCTAGATCGTAAATAACAAAGGCGCTAGGATTCAATTGGTGCTTGGATCTTGTTCTCTAAGGTCTCCTCTATCGTCAGTGTTTCCATCCTACCCCCTCTACTCCTACTGATTTTGCTCTCCAAGTCCACAGGATCAGGAGTTATAGATTTCCGACCAATCATTTATCTCGCACAAACCCCGCTCCCAGTGAGCGGAGTCTGGTCCTACTACCAACCATAAGTGTTCGCATACCGCCCCCTGTCTTTCTACTAAGTTTGAGCGCCCTAGAGCCGATTCGCGCACATTCCGCCTTCTATGGGAGGCGTCCGGTCCTGTCACCCACCAAATGTGTTCACGCCCTGCCTCGGGTACTCTTACTGAATTTGAACGTCCTAGGTCCACGGGGACAGGAATTATGAATTTCCGTACAAACAGACAGACGGACGGACAGACTGACAGAGGCGAGCGCTTTGTATGAAGTGAGGAAGTTTTGCCCATGACATCACCCAATCCTGTGCATGTCCCACCCTTGAAGGAGGAGCTTTGCTAAGCTCGAATGTGTTCTTCTGATCTTGCCCAATGCCCAACCCATCCCAGACTTGACCCGACTCATGCAGGTGCTTCCTAAGGTAATATCGAATTTCTGTACAATTGAACGAACAAGCAAACAATTAGACGCAAGCGCTTCACATATGATGAGCTGTCGTATAGATTTCGCCTATGTTTCAAATTTGGAAAACCTTCATGTAGCCACTGAGGTATTATGAAGTGGATAGTTCTTTGGAGTGCGCATCTGTGAGCGAAATTCACACTTAAAATTAGAAATTTCGATTACATTAGATTTCTACGGATCTCTATGGATTTCTGATTATGTTTCCATGGAAAATTACGCGTCTAGTCTGGAAAATAGATCAAACGCCGAAGGTATTTTCGGTAAAAATCCTTCGTTAGCAAAAAGTTTTTTTGTCCACGAAGCCAAACCTCTTTCCTCCCTCAGTTGGCTGCGAACGGATAGATGAATCGTCCATAGTTGGGGATGTAGCACGACGGTAAATAGCCAGAAGAACGTTTGGTGTATAAGAACTACGTGATAATCCCCTATTTGAGCGATCTGATGCCGCATTGTTGAAATCTCTTGACACTAATAGGTGATCGTGGAGTTGTTCCCATTCTAATCTCCTCTACAGGGTGCGCCAAAATTACCTGCTCAAATATTCACCGCTGTAAAATCGGTTAAAAGATAGATTGAGGACTAATTTTTTTACAACATTTTATTTACATCAAGTCATTACACACAGTCAATTCAAATCTCGGAAATCCCTCCACGGGCTCGGACACAGGCCCTCAGACGTGAGGGGAAGTCGTCCACTGTGGCGCGAAGATACTCCAAAGGTATTTCTTCCCATGCTCTGAGCAGGTCCCTCTTCAGCGAATCGATTGAGTGATGTTGCATCGAGCAGGCCTTGCTCTCCAATAGCGACCATACGGAATAATCCATTGGATTCAGATCAGGGCTATTAGATGGCCATTCCTGAGCACTGATAAATCATGGGAGGGTGTCTCGGCACCACTGCTGCGTCACCTTCACTCTATGAGCCGGTGCTGAATCTTGTTGGAACACGAACGGTCTAGAGCCGAAGTGACATTGTGTCCAGGGAAGCAAGGTGTTTTTCAGCACGCTCTCTAAGTAGACTTCCGTATTGATTTTAACATCGCTGTCGATGAAAAC